CCATTTTACTACTTGGGACTTACAGAATGCTATTTGGAGCTGTGCAACTTGGGAAAACTTCACCATAAATCAGAATTCCCCTGTGACACTTCACTTTGAAGCATTCTTGCTTAAGGAAAGGCAAGTGTGTTTGAAATATCTTTTATACTTCAATGCTGTTTTAACTTTTGAGTGACTCTAGAATCTTAGTTGATTACAAATGACATCCTAACAGGTATCACTGATAATACTTCTGCTAAGGGCAGAGACTGAGTCTTTCTCATCTTTCCTCTCCTAGTTCTTGGTATAATGCCTATTAAAATGTTAGCTATCTAGAATCCTTGAGAAATAAACTATTCTGGATAAATGTCCTTTACAGATAACTAAGGATTAAAATGTTATGTACTACAAAGGAAATGTTACTRTTATTACTAACACCAACCCCCATCAACCGTCTGTAATTTTTGTTTCAGGCACTATTCTAAGTCATTTATTCATACAACAGGATGAGATAGGAAATGATATTAATCTCCATTTCACAGAAGAAGGAGTTGTGGTCCAGAGCTATGCTAACCCATGTCTCACAACTTATATTGAAAAGGGACTGAATAAGGCCTAGATTTGAATCTAGCTCCAACTCCACAATTCTTGACTAAAAGCATTATTATTACTGAAAACTACTATGAATTTCTTGGACTTATAAAAAGAATATTCTAGGGGCTGGGGTTGTGGCTCAGTGGTAGAGCACTTACCTAGTGCTTGTGAGGCCCTAGGTTCAATCCTCAGCACCACATATAAATAAATAAAATAAAGGTATTGTGTCCAACTATAACYAAAAAATAGTTTAAATGTTTTAAAAAAGAATATTCTAGACATTTCCATTTAGAAATGAGACTAATATAGCACTTATTAGAAAGTGTTATAATTATTTATATTACTATCTCCTTCTATTAGACCGTGAGAATCTTGAGAACTTAATCATTTTTGTGTCCTCGGACCTCAGCATAGGCCATAGTTCATAGGAGGCTTTCAGTAAATGACTGTTAAAATAATGGAAAAAAAAGGATGAATGAGTGTCATTATCATCAAAATTAGTTACTGGGATATGCTAAAAATATAGAAGTAGAAATAGATGTAGATTATTGTGTATAGAGCTAATATAAGGTAATGTTTTTAATCCTTGTACTTGAATCTTGCTTTCTTTTAGAAAAGTTCTAGATATCTTCTTTTTTTTTTTTTTTTTTGCTCATTTCTTTCAACATTCAATTAGTATTTACTAATAGTTATATTCTGGGCACATAAAACTGTTGGGTGCTTGCAAATAAAAGAAGCATAGATCTGAAGCATCTTCTAGTCATTTTCTTATAAAGGACTGAAGCTGGTACAGCTGAACCTGTTTTGGGAGGTTATCATAGGGAATTTTTTGGCTTTAAACAGAATCCTCTTCTTTACTGTTCTATTTATATTGACCTGTCGGCATGATTTATGCCTCATTAATACAGTGAATAGCAGATACTTCTGGTTAGCTTCTATCCACCCTCTGGTTCACTTAGATTGTCAGTTCATGGAGTGAGGAGAAATAGCCTATTATTTACCCTGTAATTATCAAACCTGGCTGATCATCAGAAGGCATCTCCGGAGCTTTTGGAGACTTTTCAGCCATTTTTTTATTGTCTCATCAAATATTTTCTCTCGCCTGTTCTCTATATTCCTGTGGGAATTGGAGTTCAGGGAATCATTACAAACATCTGACATTCTCACTACTCTAAGAAAACCTTTTCATTTCTTACCCACATGTCTCGAGTCTTCTGTCAGCTCCATGAAGCTAACCCAAAATTAGAATAAAAGCATAGACCCYTCTGAGATACTCAACTAATCATGGCTATGCCATTGATCAGGTTTTCTAAGGTTTGTTTCGAACTGGATCATCAGGTATGATTGAATTTTCCCTTTTTACTWTCAGCTGTTCTGCATCATTCCATAAATATTCTGAAAGTTGGGCATATCTTAGAGGCCTTACTCTCAAAACCAATGTTTGTTCTCAAACCTATGCCAGAAAGGAATAATTTCCCCCCTGGAAACATGGCTGTATATAATCTTTTTACCTGTAATAAATGAAAAAACACAGACTATATCAGAACTGGAGCTTGTTATAGGGTCTAGGCCTCCAGGGACTAGGTTGGAAACTTAACAGCTGCCCCTTTTCAGAAGCCTCCTGCCATCTGCCCCTGCTCCCCCTCCATAAATTTGTTTTATTTCAGTTCTCCCCCTCCACCCCCCCACCCCCCGCAAACTGAAAAAAATTGAGCCATTAACTTTGTTTCTTAATGTTTTATTTAGAAGTAATTTCAAACTTAAAAGTTACAAGAATGAGAATAGTACAAAGAACACCCATATATCTTAATCCAGATATACCTATTATTCACTTTTTACCGAATTTCTCTTATCAGTTACTCTACATGTGTGATCCTGTGTGTGGTGCAGGTACCTGTTTGCATTTGTGAGGGGGAGGGGGCCCTGGGGATTGAACCTAAGGGCACTTTACAGCTGAATCATATCCCAGCCCTTTTTAGTTTTTGAGACAGTCTCCCTAAGTTACTTGAGGGCCTCACTACATTGCTCAAACTGGCCTCGAACTTGCAATCTTCCTTCCTCAGCCTCCTGAATAAACATTTGCACTTTTTAAACCAACCTGAGAGTGATACACATTCAGGCCATTCATTTTTTTTATAAGCTTACACTTGAGGTTTACCTTTTTCCCAATTCTATTCTGTTGCAAATAATAGTAGCCTGAAGTTTTATGTACTTGGGATGCCTTTGAGAACCTAAGGAACTTGGTAGTTGAGGGTGTGGGCAAGCAAATAGCTATTTCTACTTCACAGGAATTTACATTTTACATTATGGTTCCACATGAATATAATACATTAGTGTCTTCAAAGCATTTTTTTAGGTACCATTAAATTTGTTTTATTTCAGTTCTCCCTTAGTTTAGGATATAATTTAAAGTTTCATGGTTTCTACCATTATTTGGAATAAAATTTYAAAAATATTAATAATCTCAAAAAGCTTATATGTTGGTTTATATATGTATGATTTGTGTTAGAAACTTGCAACTAAGGAACTTCAACTGATTATCTCACATTGAAAACATTAGCAAGTGCTAATACTACACAAATTATATTATTTATGGCTTGTAGTAGCTGTGTGGTACCAGTCTGATGCACACAAAAAGAAAAGTAGCTTAAAGAAAAGGTAGGTACAGATGAACCATTTTATAACTGAGATTAATTATTTTAATTATCTGGGATTCTGTGCACATATCCTTGGCACCACTATAATGTCAAGTAAATAAGATAGAAAATATTCTCTGAATATTTTAATGAAATATAACACTGAAACCTGGATAGAGATGGGCAGAAATTGTAACTAGGTTGCTTATGCTTTGTTTAGTGCCAGATACACATTAATTCCATAGTTAGTTTTGAGAAAAAGAAGAGCTGGTTTTAATTAGGATTTAAGTTCCCTGCTGTGATTTGTGCTTAAACAAGAAAAAGAGAATGTCAAGTTAACTTGAAATGACACAGAAGCTATCTTCCTAAGAAAATAGAGCCAGGAACTTCTTACCATAATTTTACATTGTTAAGGCAAATAAATGATTCTATCAAAATTACATCTAACTTTAAGAAAATATCTCAACTACCTTGTTACAGAAAAGGCTGGAAGGCAATTTCTATTTGTTATACATAAAATTTATAAACTGTATTATTGATATATCGTCTACCTAGCTTAAGAAATATATACTAAACAATATTTTATTATACATATATGTATTTATTATGAATATATACACATGTATATTTATAACTATATTTCATAGATATGTGTGTATATAGAGATAGATCAGGAAAATGTTGGTGCTATCCCTTAGAAATATATAGCTTTTTTTGTGCATAGCTTTCAAACTTTGTATTCATGGTACAAATGTGGCTTGCATTTTTTTCAACAATAAGTTTGTGAGTTTCATCAATGATGATATATTGACTCTAGTTCATTCATTGTCACTGTCAGAATAATATTCCAGTGTAGGAACAGACTAACTTATTTATTCTCTTCTTAATGACATTTGAACCTAACAGTGACAGGACATGGTGGTGCACATCTGTAATCCCTATGACTTGGGGAGCTGAAGCAGGAGGCCAGCCTGGACAACTTATCAAGAGACCCTTTCTCAAAATTAAATGGGTTGGGATGAACCTCCTGGGTTCAGTACTTCCCCCATCCTTTTCTCTCCCCCCCCCCAAAGACAAGGAAGAATAAACTTAAAGGTTATAAATCACTAAGGGAAGATAGTTGGCTCTAAATGTACCTTAGGTAAGGCCTGGGGCCAGGAGAGAAAGGCCTGCTAGATGATATCCTAGCAGAGCCCAGAAGACAACAGGCAGGTTGGCCCAGAAAGCCAGAAGGGCAGTTTGATGTCAGCGGGTTGGGCTCAGACAGGAAAATACCTTCTTATCCACAGACAAAGGCAACCTGTCTGAAAGGGAGAACAACCTAGCACAGGGTTAAAAAGCACTCAGAGCAAGCAAACCACACCCTCTTTTCCCTTCCCCTCCCCAACAACTGAAAACTAGGAAAGGGAAGCACAAACACAGAGTGGTGTGAAGGAGACAGTCTAATCTGCCTCAACAGTTTTCAGTTACTCAGGATGTACTTCCTACTACAATAAAGATCACAACCACGCCTTGTTTCAGAGGAAGGGGAAGGGATGGGGGCTCAACTAAGAAGAAAAACTAAAGAATAATCCTAAAGCCAAGGAAGCTGTTAACAGGGAAAATTTACCCTGACTCCCTTTTGATGGGGGAGGTGAGGTGGAGGGAATTGGGGATTCATGAATAGTAGCTAAAAGTAAACCAAAAGCAAAAGACTTAACCATGACAAAAGAGCAAGACTTTGGGGAAGGGAGATGCCACTGGGAAGCAGCTCTTAGGTTTCATCAAAACGTTTAATAAATATATATTAAAGTGGTAGCTTTGGCAGCACATATACTAAAATTGGAACAATATAGAGAAGATTAGCATGGCCCTGCACAAGGGTGACATGCAAATTCGTGAAGCACTTCATATTTTTGCGATGAAAGTTTTTAAAATAAAAACAATTGAAGATAACCACAATTCCCTTTTTTTAGGAAGGGAACACGTAATCATTTTTAAGAGTTAAAATATATATTCAGATTCTTAAAAATCGTATAGGCATAATCCCAATTATGCACATATAAACATAACACTTAGATATATCGAAATATTTCAAGAACGTGGGATTATTTTTTCTATGAGTTAACATGCATTTTCTATGAACCTTTATAGAAAACTTTGAAATATTTTCTATATTTCAAAAAACTCTGAAACCATATTTTAGAGTTTTAAAAAAGTCTATTGAAGACCATACTGATGCTGGGTTAGACTCACTAGCTAAGGGGTGGGAAAGAAGGAAAGAAACACACATATGGGTATGTGTCTGTGTGGGCATATGTACAAGCAGAGAAAAAGAGACTTACTTTTAATTACTTTCATTTATCTTTCCAGAATAGATTTCCCACCTCACTCCYAAGGCCCCTCTCCCTCTCTTCGCATGCCCCAAGTACCTTTCCTAACCACCTCAACCTTGGTGCTGTTCTGCAGCGCCTGGCACCACTGCGTCTACCATTTCTGTCTCCTCTGAGCAGAAGCAAATGCTTCACCCCATCCCATCAACAAACTCACCAGTTCTCTTCCTTTTCTCCAGGGGCTTATTGTATCCTATCAGTAATCTAGTTATCAAAAAGGTTTATCACTAAGAATTTACTACCTTTAGGATCTTTTACAGAAGGTATTAAAGACCAGAAAAGCTAAATGAAAAGAATGATAACTAACAGGTGATTTTTGGCATTTTGAAAAAGCGTAGGGCCAAGATTTACTGATGCCTCTCAGCTCATGCCCAAGAGCTGAGATTATGGATTGATTTTATGGCTTGGGGTGTCTTGTCTTTTCCTACTGAGCCCATAAGTGACATCTCAACAAATGCAGCTATGGAGGAAGGAGCATTGTGTTTAATCCAGCTGTGGTGGCCAGCTGAGCTTTCCTAGTCCCTCTGCTGCATGTTCTATGACCCTGAAGAACCTTGTATTTTTCTTTGGTAAAACTCATATTATTCTGGATGTGGCCTTTTGAAATGTTTGGATAAATCATGGCAGGCAGTCATGATTGTGAGGTCTAGTCCTTCTAGAAATAGAGTAAAATAATAAAAGATTAGGAAATAAGAATAGGGTCTGAAACAGAGCCATCCCTAAGATGGTTTAAAGTTAAAATACTTTAAAATTCTTTAATATATATATATATATATATATATATATATATAATACTTGTAGATTTATATAATATATTCTGCTAGCATGAGCTACCTTTTAGACATATTTTATGTGCTTCTATAATTTATCAACAAGATTTATTAGACTTCTGACATCACTACTTGATTCATCCCTGTATTTTCAGCAGGAAATAATTTGTCTTTGCAAAGAAAATGTGCAGTCTCTGGAGTTCTTTCAAAATGCTCTATTTTTAATACCTAAAAATAATGCTATCAAAGTCCTTTTTTATCAATAGCAGTACCAACTGTCTTAAGGTAATATGTGACTTTAATTTAATGTTTGTTAGCTAAGCTAAAAGGTAAAAGTACTAAACTCACTGTTTCTTTACTGGAATCCTGCTGATCTCCACCAAAATAGAAACTGTTCAAAATACTATGGAATATAAAATTTTCCTGGTATGGTATTTTAGAAAAAAGCCATTCTAGTTAAATGCCAAAACACAAGAAGATATGATATCTAAACGATGAAGCTTTTAAATAAAATATTCTCAACCTCCCAATTTAAATGCTTCAACAAATCAACAAACATTAATTAACATTTATGTGATAGGCATTTCATATAAAGAGAAAGCACATAGCATAAATATTCAACAAATATTTGTATAGCTCCATGGTGCCATAAAAGAAAACAGTGTGATGAACAAGACCCATTCAGCCAGTATCTATTCAGACGTTACCCAAGTCCTCAATGATATCAGTTTTCTCCAAACCCCAAGATATCGCAGATCTGCCTTTCATTAAGATGATATTCACATGAGCTTTGTGACTCCTTTATCTGAAGGAATTCATGTTTACATGTCACCTCTATAAAATCTTAATTTARTATACACATTTATTAAAAAAAGAAAAGATATGACATAAATGTGGAATATATATCCTATACAGTGGCTTATCGCTGCCTGTACCTCTTGCCAGGAGCCTGCATGAAAAAGACGACCAACAGTTTCTCACTGTTGGCTTGAGTTCAGCAGAAACTGGATCCCATGCCAGTGTGCACTGTGATAATGAAGGGGTACAAAAGGGAGGTTTATGGCTCCCTGATGGGCAGTGGAAACCTAAAGACGACTGTCTGAGCTCCTGACGTCTGCTGTTTAGTGTGTGACTTACCTGCTAGGATTCCTTGCCACACGTGGATACCGTTTTTTAGGACTTGAGACACTGGAGAGAAACTTCATAGTAGAAGAAGGGAAAATAGCAGTGAAAAAGAGCTAATGCTTTTTTAAACCCACATCTTAATAAATTAAAATTAGTTACAAAATTGTCTGCAAAATCTGAATATGAAACAGTTCAGTTATTAGGTAAAACCATTAACGGCCAACACTCATATGGCACTGGCTATCCTTCACATGTATTATGTCATTTCATCTTCAACCGCCTATAGGGTAGGTACTGACTTAATAGAATCCAAGGACAGCAGGTAAAATAAGTATCATGAGGTTGCCTAAATAGCTGTTGGTAGAGTTAGCATTTGGTAAAAATTTCCTGAATAGGACCTCATTAACTCAGGAAATAAAAGGAACAATTGACAAATGGGATCTCATCAACTTACAAAGCTTCTGCACTGCAAAGGAAACAACAGTGAAGAGATGACCTACAAAATGRGGGAATATTTGTCAGCTATTCGCCTGACAGGATTAACATCCTGAATATATAAACAACTTCATAAATTTATTCTCCTTATTCTTTCAATGAAAGAACAAGTAATACAATATAAAAATACAACGAAGGAACAAATAACACAATTAAAAAATGAGCAAATGATATGTACAGATCCTTCTCAAAAGTAGAGGAACAAATGACCAGTGAATATATGAAAAGTTCTTCAACATCTTTCATTGTCAGAGAAATAGACATCAAAACCATATTGAGATTCCATCTCACCCTGGTCAGAATGGCTATTATCAACAAAACAAAAAATAACAAATGCTGGCAAGGATGTGGGGAGARAGGAACCCTTCTATGCTGTTAGTGAGGTTAAACGAGTACAGSCCACTATGGAAATCAGTATGGAGGGTCCTCAAAACACTGAAAAATATATACCAGTCCCAGGTAATGAAGTCAGCATAAGTAAGATACCTGCACACCTGTGTTTGTTGTGATACTATGCACAATAGCCATGTTGTGGAACCAGCTTAGGTGCCTGTCAGCAGATGAATGGATAAAGAAAATAGGGCATACGTATGCAATATTATTCAGCCTTGAAAAAGAACAAAATCATGTCATTTATAAGAAAATGGATGGAACTGGAAGTCATCRAGTTACCCCATGTTAAACAAAATAGGCCAGACACAGAAAGATGAGAATCACATCTTCTGTCTCATGTGTGGAAACTTAAAAATAAATAAATAAAAATAAAATAAAGGCCAGACCTGAAAGTAGAGGAGGGACTATTAGGGAAAAAGAAGGTGGTGGGGGTGGGGGTGCAAGAAGGTAGTAGAGAGGTTGGATGTGATCAAAATACCATATATGTGCATATGGGAATTTCACAGTCAAACTCATTAACTTGCACAATTAATATGACTTGTTAATGATTTTTAAAAATAGAGTTAGCATTTGAACCTAAGTGGCTGGGCTCCAGTGCCCATGCTCCTGACCTCTATACCCACACTGCTTCTGATACAATGTGAATACTCTCAGTGTCCGCTGCCTGGAGGGGGTTAAGCAGTGAGTATCCTCTTTAGCTGGGCCTCTGCTACGCCAGCTGGATTGGAATTGGTAACCGCCTCATTGAGTTCCTGGCTCTGGTCTGAGTGGCCGGGGCCATGATAATAGATCAGCTGTTTCAGTTACTGTCAACTGACCAGGGAGTGGAGAATGTCTCTTCAGAAGAGCCATGTGTCTCTATTAAGGTTTTGGATGTAGTAATGGAGTTTTCTCCCCTCTTCTACAAAACATTAAACGTTACAGAGTCCCAATAAAGGAAGACCCATTATAGACCACAGAAAATCCCACCAAAAGAGACTTAGGAATTATGGAACTGAATTATTCAACCTCTCTTGCTGGCTTTTAAAATAACTGAATGGTTGGCTAGAAGATAACTATGCATTTCATACCCTAATAGGCCTAACATGCTGTCAGTGAGCAATAGTCTGTGTTCAGGCAAGAAAAGCTTTGAAATCAAGAGATCCCAATAGCAAATTTAACCTTGTGATTAACCAAACATTGTGTGACTTGAGGAACTACCAGTTTGTCTAAAGAAATTAACCCAGGGCCCATTCATTTCACTCTTGGAAGTATATTTTTTTTTTTCCTTTTCTTTTGGGGCTTTATTTCTTCTGAGTTTTTTTTTTTTTTTTAATGTAGCTTCCCCCCAGGAGAGGGCACACAACTTTTGCCTCTATGAGCCCATACCTGATACTGTCCATCCCCAGGAGGAGCTGATGATAGGCAGCCCCATGGAGGAATGACCCTGGGATCTGTTAGAAGGGTGAAACAGAAAAGGTGTGGAGAAGGGCTGAAGACAAACTAACGCCTCACAGATTTTCCCAGGCCTGGTGCCTCCGAAATTTGATGAGTACAGTATTCAACCTAGAAAAAAATAAGGCTTTTGAAAGTCCTTTACAAAGAATGTCTTGTTTGACAACGATCCTGCCGTTCTTCTGGTCACTTGAGCTTGAAGTTTTGATTCTAAGACATAGAGAGTTGTTCGTTCCTTTCTCTCCATTCCCTGAACCTGGTCACTTATCAAGTCGCATCATGTTTCTCTTTTCATTATTTCTTCTATT